ACTCTCTCTCTCTCTCTCTCTCTCTCTCTCTCTCTCTCTCTCTCTCTCTCTCTCTCTCTCTCTCTCTCTCTCCCTCCCTCTCTTCTTTTTTGTGTTTCTTTGTTTTAACACACTTTTCTCCTTTCTCTCTAACATAGCGCCGACCCATGCTCAAAAACGTTCCATCTGCAATACATAACACTGAGGTCCAGGGCTAAAACATTGCATTTACAACTGTTGCATGCATAACCGATAGGACCTTGTGACTTTGTGAGCTCTGACTGTTGCAAATAGACCTGTTTTACTCTGGTTTAGATAAAAGGTTGTGTTGATCTAAAAACTTGTGAACCTTGTCTTGTGCTCTTTTACTTTCGCGTTGACAACCAGGCCAACGTATTTTTTTCTGACCATATGTTCTGAAAAAGCCGCCGAGGTGTTTGAGCTCCAATACTATCGTGAGCTTATTGACAACTAGGGGAAACGAGATGCAACAGCAAACTGATACATTTCAAGGCCTTAAGTCAGGGGACAAGAGTCGAAACCCGCACACACGCTAATACTTACGCCAAAAAGTGAACACAACTTCATTTGGCCCTTGCTCATTGGCTGAATATTTCATGTCATACGTTGAACATAAGCTTTCTGTGCCGCGTCGAAGCACATTTGGATGACTACCAGCAACAGTTATTTATCGTTTAGTCACTATTTACTTGTGTGGTTTTTTTCTGGTTTAGTCACTTCTAACCGTGCGTCCGGTGAAAAGGATTATTTCGACTATCATTGCAATTTCAGTGGGCTGACTACTGGATTGCCAAAAAAGACCCCCGACTTGTCCACCTCAGATTTTCGCTAGTGTAAAACGATCTGAGGAATACGCAGAAAGAGAGAAAGGGAGAGAAAAAGAAAGAAAGAGATAGAGAAAAAGAGAGAAAGAGAGAGAGAAATAGAGAAATAGAGAGAGAGGTATAACCACAAAGCCATGGAACAGCACACGTGCTTTTCTGTGATTATTCTGGGAGTTCTGTGTCTCGGTGAGTATTATCTCTTTAGAAAACAATTCATTTTACTTTCATTCTGTATCTGAAATTATGTTACACCCCACTGACGAATTATACAAAGAAAAACCGCTCTGGGGGCGGAGTTCTTTGATCCTGGCCCTGAGGACCGAAGCAGGGTGTGTGGAACACATCCCACTGGCGTCTGTGGTTTAGTACTTAGGCCCTTCACTGTGGCATGCAGGAGAACCGAGTTCGATTCCCGAATAGGAACAAGATTTGTATCGAGTATCTCAGTCTTTCTTCTAGGATGTTGTATCCTTCTCAGCCTGGGCAGGCCGGAACAGGTAGATTTGGAATTCCATTTCCTAACTGATCTAAATTTTGTCGATGGGCGCGTAAAAGTATTTTTACATGAAAAAAAAAAAAAGCATCCCAGCAGATGGAGGGAGATACATTTTGTTTAAAACAAGCAGCATATCTTTCGATAGCGGAAACCGAACACGCACCCTAGCAGGACTGACAAAAGGTATATTATTACACCACATATTATGATTTAGTTGTCAGCTGCGTTATCAGGTCACAATACGTAATTATTCGAAGGGGAAACTTAACTAAAGTATGTATACCATTTATGGAAAGACATTTGACTTTGTTCAATTCTAGCAAATGTGTGTTAACTGCCCCCCCCAACTTCGTTTTTTCCCCAATGCCCACAAAGATAACTACCACCAACACCACGAGACCAACAATAACAATACGAAAAACACACCAACAACTACTGCTTCATAGGCAGCATATTATTAAGTCAACTTTTTTTAGTCAGTGTTTTTACGCACCCCATCGACTCTGGACTTCCGACCCAGCCTGTCAAGGCCAACTCGGGCTGAGACGGATCCAACGTCCCAGTAAAAAGATCGAGTTACTCAACACAAATTTTCTCCCCACTCGGGAAACGAACTTTGATCTTCTGGGTGCAATTGTGAAGCACTTAACCGCTACGCCACAGACGTTGGAATAGCATAGTGTCTCAACAAAATCAATGCCAGGTAAAAGATGAAAGTTAAGAATAAAGGCACTCTAAAAATCGATGTTAACAGAGGGATGCTAAGATTAGTGTAAATATTAATAGATTTGGTTTAAAACGTAGTGCTGTGTAAGTTTTGTGTGTGTGTGTGTGTGTGTGTGTGTGTGTGTGTGTGTGTGTGTGTGTGTGTGTGTGTGTGTGTGTTTATATGTGTTTGTGTGAGGAGAGAGAAGAGAAGAGAGAGAGAGAGCGAGAGAGAGAGAGAAAGAGTGCGAGAGAGAGAGAGAGAGCGAGAGAGAGAGGGAGAGAGAAAGAGTGCGCGAGAGAGAGAGAGAGAGAGAGAGAGAGAGAGAGAGAGAGAGAGAGAGAGAGAGAGAGAGGGGGGGGTGCAGCAGATTACCTACAGGCTTGTTGAGTGTTTGCAGTTGTAATAAAAGTACCTTTTATCACATATCAGTCAATTTTCTTAATAGGTCGACATCTATCTTTTAACGTTCTTTATATTAAGTTTTAAGCCAATCATTATAATAAACAATATGAGTAAACTTTCTAACTGACATGTCGTGTATAGTATGTATGAGCACATGAGTGCGGAAGAGAGGGTGGGTCAGAGAACATACGGTTATGAGTGGATGTTTATGTGTGTGTGTGTGTGTGTGTGTGTGTGTGTGTGTGTGTGTGAGTGTGTGTTTATGTGTGTATCTGTGTGTTTGTTTGTATATGTGTATGAATGTGTGTGTGTGTGTTTATGTGTGTATCTGTGTATTTGTTTTTATATGTGTATGTATGTGTGTGTGTTTGTGTGTGTGAGTATGTGTGTGTGTGTGTGTGTGTGTGTGTGTGTGTGTGTGTGTGTGTGTGAGTGTGTGTTTATGTGTGTATCTGTGTGTTTGTTTGTATATGTGTATGAATGTGTGTGTGTGTTTATGTGTGTATCTGTGTATTTGTTTTTATATGTGTATGTATGTGTGTGTGTTTGTGTGTGTGAGTATGTGTGTGTGTGTGTGTGTGTGTGTGTGTGTGTGTGTGTGGTCAAACACCTAATCAATGTGCTAATACCTGGGCAACAACAACAAAATATTAATCATCTTACCTTATCTTATTATGAACAAGCATCTTTGTCAAGGAAAATAATGTAGCAGCGTTTAGAGCTGATAAACTGATCGGCGGGAAAGAAAAACTGACAGAAGACATAGCTCTAGCATATTCGGATAAAATAAGTGATCTTTATTGCGAAAACAGTTACACTAGAGTTCAACTCCACAATTAAGAGAGATGCACCTCCTGTATATTTGGGAACACAATATTATATGTGAGGCTTCGTGGCGAAATCAGGCGCTCGTCAAAATAAGTAAATCAAAGAAACCAGCATTTGGCAACTTTTATCGAATCTTCTTTTTTTTTTTTTTTTTTGGCTCAACACCTTTTATGCCCATTTAAAGATGTAGTATACTTTTGTGCGGATTTTACTAAGTAACGTTGATCAAAGGTTCAACAAATGTATAGTTTTACAGTTTCCAAGGACATTCATCAAGCTTTGTGAGTCACCCAACTTTCGCGGCCATTTTCTCTCTAATTTTACCTCTTTTACCATGCGACCCCCACCTTCATCAATGGAAAATATCTCGACTTCTATTCAACATACGTGGGTATTTTTTTTCCAGCCAAATGCAGATAAATGAACGAACTTTCAGATTTTACCTATAGCTATAGATTTATATGCCCTAAAACTGAAAAGCACATCTCGTCGTTAAGCACATGCTTAGTTATTGTCTCTTTCGACAGGAATGGAATGGGTGCAGCTACTTCGTTGTTGTTGTTGTTGTTGTTGTTGTTGTTGTTGTTGTTTTTGTTGTTGTTGTTGTTGTTTTTGTTGTTGTTGTTGCTGCTGTTGTTGTTTTTGTTGTTGCTGCTGTTGCACTTGTTGTTGTAGTTGTTATTGTTCTTGTTCTTGTTTTGTTCTTGTTGTGTGTTGTTATTTGTTTTGTTTTTACTGGGGGTGTTTGTTTTTATGTAGGTATTTTTATGCCCCCACCGACATAATTTAGATCCTTTAGGAGGCTGGCTTCCGACCTTCCTGTCAGGACCAACCTGGCCTGAGAGAGAAACAACATTCCAGCAGAAAGACTGAGATACTCGCTAAAAAAAATTAATATCTTCCCATTCGGGTGTGTAGAACTAGGGTATCCTGCATACGGCAGCGAAGTGCCTAACCGCTATTGCACAAATGCTGGTGTAGCTGCATTAGCAACGTGCTGTCAAAGTGTGACAACAGCTTTTGAATAAACTTCTGAAATTGAACATTTTTCTAAACGGAATGACATTTTGTTCTCTCCAACTTTTTTACAGCTTTTTATAAAGTTAAAACGTTGGCGTTTTTATGCCCCCATACACAAAATTTTGATAATTTAGGAGGTTGCCTGCTTCGACCATGCCTCTCAGGTCTAACCTAGGCTGAGAAGGATACACTGTCGTAGCAGAAAGACCGAGATACTCGATAAATTCTCCACACCTGCGAATGGAACTAAGATCTTTTGTGAACAATGATAAAACACCTAACCTCTACTGTATACAAACCGTGGTACAGCCTTCCTGTACGATTCACAATTGCTATCTTCCTTGAAGTACCCAACACTTCCCCTTTCTTCAACCCCCTACACACACCAATTTCTTCTCCTTAATATCCATAACTAGTTACCCAAAAGAGTCGTGGCCACCTCTTTTGAAGTGATTTCTAGTGTCAACTGTCTCAAAAACATTCCTGTATGTGTGCCTGTTTGTCTTGTCCACTCACAGCGACCAGTGTGACGTCACAATGTAATCAGGGCAAGGCCGAGGTGTGCATCACTCAGATGGAAGACGTCATCACAACTGTCCTGGAGACCACAGCTGGTGTAGATCGTAACACGAAATTGCAGCAGCTGTGCCTGTAAGGATTTTGGTTCACATTCCTTCACGTTTTAAAGACATATTCAGGCATTATTTACTTCATTCCAATGTGATCGGATAAGATCTTCATACATTATGAAACGGGGTGACGTTAAACATCATGCCAGTCAAAATATTAAGTTTTTTCTTAAAGATGATTATGATTAGGTGCTGATTTACATCAGATGATAACAGGTTTTTTTTCTCCAAAGTAAACATAATCTAGATGATTTCTCAGGCGGCATTTTATTTTTTTTTCTTATCTCCCTTTCAATACAGAAAAGCGATTAAACTCCAGCAACCCCAATCCACCTCAATTCTGACAAGACAAGGGTGGAGAGTCTTGAAAGCTGTTCAGACAATCCAGGTTCTCGAATTCCCTTTCGGAGTTCGAGCTTGGGTTTGTCGTAATGCAGTTCAGAGTGGCACCATCAGAGCTTGTTGGGAATCAGAGCTAATTGAATATTGGGGGGGGGGAGGTTTGTTCGTTCCGATTTTTTTTCGACTTAGAAAGCTCATTTTCCATTACAATTAAGATAGTAAAGGTATCATTCACTTATACCGTGTAAGCTTATTTTGAATTTAGCTGTTTAAAAAAAAATGTTAACAGCATGTACAGACTGTTAAAAAGGGTTTAAATTGTTAACATTCCTCACCGAAACGATGGGATAAAAGCCCTTCATGTAAAATTTGACCCTATAGAGGTAACCTGCTCACGTTTACAGGACCACTGTGGTGTATTTTCGATACAGTTAAGCATATTTGAACATTTCCTTTTATTCAAGAAAAGGAGGAGTTTTCAGATGGGTCTCAGTCTTGATTTCTGATAGACAGTATTTTGTCACAATAGACAATAATGTATTATTATATTTTTGTTTACTCTTTATGTTCACTGGCGATAGTGCCTGCAGCTAATGTATAGGTAATGAGTGTAAGGAAGTTCCCATGTAGCGTGGGCAAGGAAATGAAACATGTTCTGCAGCCAGTCAATTAACAGATTTTGTGTCTGTTCATGGATTGTATACAAGTCCTCACTGAAGTCTTTTTCTCTCATCGTGCAATTGGTCTATCTTATTTCCCTATGCTATTGGCTGTTATATTTCATGGACTGTTCTAAGTTTTTGTTCTGTCTATCTCCGTTGAGGTCATGTTTGTGGTGCAAGCATCCTTTTATCTTTGTTCCTTTGCAACAACATTCGACATTTTGTCCATCTCCCTTTCTTCTATATTTTTTCAGTTTCTAATGAAAGTGTTCTTACTGCCCCTTCGACACGATTCGGGTCACTTTGGGGGGTAGACTTCAATCCTTTTGTGCGTGTGTGAGAGAAAGTCCTTCCAACCCCCCCCCCCCCCAAAAAAAAAACAAAAAAAAAAAACAATAACAACAAAACAACAAACAAACAAACAAAACACCCCAACAAAACAAAACAAAACAAAATAAAACAAAAACAAAACAAAACAAAAAAACGAACAAACAAACGAAACAACGAAACAAACAAGTTTTATGCATGTTTTTTTTAGTTTAGTTTAGTTTAGTTTTTTTGTTTTTGTTTTTACTAATGAAGCCATTTGACAGACAAGAAACTGCTAGAAGCAAATAAGTAATTTCGAAGTTACGCTGGGCATCGATAAAAAAAACACTAAGAAGAAAGAAATGATTTAGAATAATAATAATAATAATAATATAATAGGTGTTTTATGCTCCCAGCAACACAATTTAGATCATTTATCAGGAGTCCAGATTTGACCCTGTCCTTCTGAGGTAACTCAGACTGAGGAGGATACAACGTAGCTGCAGAAAGATCGAGACATTTGATGAAGATTATCCCTACATGGAAATCGAACTCAGGCTTACTATGTACGGTGGCTAAGCGCTTAACCACTACACCGCAGACCCCTGTAGAAAGAAAGGAAGGCATGGGAGAAATACAAGTGTAAATAATGTCCAAGGGCTTTTCGACACAGAATACTCTGGTTTGTTATGCTCCCTCCCCCACCCCCTCATCCCCCCCACACCCCCAACCCACACACATGCAATTGGCTTACTCTTCTTGTAACGATGCTGCTTTTTTCTGTTTCTCCTCCCTAGACTACCCCCTTTTTTATTACACACACACACACACACACACACACACACACACACACACACACACACACATGCACAAACTCATAAAAACCACATACTCGTATATATACACGTTTCAGACATGAAACACTGGTAGGTCTCATCTCTTTAAATCTGTAGGTAGTTTCTGTCTGTCCGTTTTTTCTTTACCCAAACAAAATTAATGACCATTATACTGTTCTAAAAGAGTCGAAACACCTAACCCCCCCCCTCCCCGCCCCCACTTTCCCTCACCTCGACCCCTTCCACTTACGTCTTGATCTCGTTCACGGTTCCAGTGACGTGATCAAGGGGAATAACTTGACCCAGTGCTTCATCGACGCCACGCGCACATGTCCGGAATCCTCCAGGACGTCAGGTCAAGGGGACGCCATCAAGAGATGGGAAACCGTCATGCAGGACCTGTATGGACTTTGTGACGGAGGTATTCACGCTGCTGCTACTACTACTACTACTGCTGGTGCTGCTGCTGCTGGTGGTGGTGGTGCTGCTGCTGTTGCTGTTGTTGCTGTTGTTGCTGTTGTTGCTGTTATTGTTGTAGTTTTTTTTGCTGTTATTTGTTTGTTTTGCTGGGTGTTTTGTTTTTCCTCTATGAACCAACTGAAACAGATATCTACTGGCCATTTGATTTTTGTATCTTTCAGGAAATTCTAATCAGTCTCCCAAGAAACTGCTTCTTTTTGTTGTTGTTGCTTCTATCTTAATTTCACTATCTTTGGTTATTTTGAGGCCACAATTCTATGTAGGTATTTTACTCCCCCCCCATCAACACAATCCGTTGATTTAGGAGACGAGCCTCGATCGTTCCTCTGAGGGTCAACCCGGACTGAGAGGAATACAACGTCCCAGTGGGAAGAGCGGCATACTCGATTAAGAAATGTCCCCATGTGGAAATTAAAACCAGGTCTTCAGCGTGTGACGGCAAAGCACCTAACCACTAGACCACAAACTTCGGCACAGGCCACATTATTCGGCCCTGCCTTTCAAGTTAACTCTGGCAGTGTTGGATCCATCCAAGCAGAAAAAATCGGAATTACTCGTTAAAGTGTCTTCTAACTCCAATCTCTTTGATTGACAGGGGAACAGCTCCTGGGGAACAACAAAAAACGGTTATTCTTCTGGCAGGTTGAATATTAGGACAAGTGTAATTAGAAGACTGGTAAAGCGAGTAAAATGTTTTAAGTTCACTCATCCAGTAAATGAGTGAAAGAATATCAAAAGTATAGTTTTGTAACATGTGTCTCTTCTCTCCCTCAGCATGCCCGAACTTTCTCGAGAGGACTGTCAACATTACACAATGTACAGGGATTATACGATTTGATGCTCTATATGACTCGTCTTACCACCTGTTTTGTCAGTGAGTTTTGATAGATTGAATAGATGTAATTAATGTTTACAGTTTTCACGTTATTGCATAACAGATGTTTGGTTAAACTTACGTCTGTATTTCTCCAAGGACGTTTGAACAATGGGACATAGAGGGTGGAGGGTGAAAGAAAGAGAGAGAGAGAGAGAGAGAGAGAGAGAGAGAGAGAGAGAGAGAGAGAGAGAGGGGGGGGAGGTGGGGAAGGGGGAGGGGCAGGTCTTAGCCACGGCCTGCACCTCCAATCACCATTAGCAGAGAGACAGACAGACAGACAGACAGACAGACAGACAGACAGAGACAGAGAAACACAGAGAGAAAGAAAGAGCGCACGACCGACCGACCGACAGACCGACCGACCGACAGACAGACAGACAGACAGACAGGCCCACAACACACACAAACACATACATACACACACAAACAGATACTCACACAAACACACTCCCACTTTTTTACAAACTGAACAACAAACAAATGAATGCCTGAATACCTGACCTCTGCAGATCTCTCAACGAAAGTCTCCAGTGTGTGTCAGAAGTATCTGACCGCTGTCCTCAGTTTGGAAACCTCTTCTACGACTTGCTCCCTGAAGGCATGGACCATACCGCCTCGACCTTGTGTACTGGAGGTGAGGGTTTGGTTTTGGCTGCTTCTTCTTTCTGTTTTTTCTGGGGTTGTTGTTGTTGTTGTTGTTGTTGTTGTTGTTGTTGTTGTTGTTGTTGTTGTTGTTTGATTGGGGGGTTTTTTTTGTAAGGGTTTTACGGTGCACGAAATTGCATATTAAGGTCATATGAGCGCGCGGGACACAGTAAACTTTTCCAGTTGGAAGGAGATTTCGAATTTCGCCCGGGTGGCGGCCGAAGCCTACTCTTATCGATTTTGGACCACCAAGGGATCTTTAACGTGTCCAACTTGCATTCGGACCCTCCGAGATTTTACACCTTTGTCCGAGAAGGCTAGATGTAGATCTTTCCTACCAGAAGATCAGGGGTGTGGCTGAAAGAAAGCAATAAGAATGAGCCAAGTAGTAGCAGTAGAAAGGCTGCAGAAAGAGTCAGGAGCCTAGAGGAGGGGGCAAAGGAGGTGAGGGGTGGGTGTAGAAAGAGGAGACGAAAGCAGACGACAGAACATTTTTAGAGAGCAGGAAAGGAGGTGAAAGGAGACAATTTTAGAGAAAAAAAATTTGTGGTCGCTACCCGGATTCGAACCTGGGACCTTGGAATGGGAGGCCAACACCTTAACCTCTAGGCTACAAGAGCCCCCGTCTCTCTGTTTGTGCTTGTTTGAGGTGATAATAAGAACAACAAAAAAGCTAGAAAGACAAAAAAGAAACAAGTAAAAAAGAAGCTGCGTTTTGTCTATCATGACGTGCGATAATGCGATCGTCCAGGATTGAAGTGGAACGGAGAAGGCAAGAAACTATTAATCAAAACTCTCACAACACCAGACGTTGCAGACCGTCGCAATCAGACTTCCAGTGTCTAAAATGTGGACGACATTGTAGGTCCAGAGCAGGCCTTGTGGCCCATAAACGTTCTTGTCTTATCTTAATGACATTCATCAATCATCATGTATGCCGATGGACAGCCGAAGACGAAAGTGTATGACTATGTCTCAATATCAGCCTCCTATAGAACCTGCTTTAACGGTCACATGCCGCGGACAATCGCATGTATAAACGACCACTTCCAACTTTCCGTCTCATTTTTCTACATTGAAACGGTAGTGTCTGGTACAACAGACTTTTCTCTTTTACAATAGCTGACTGTCTTGAGCAATTTATTTCGATTGTATTCCTGATTGTTGTCCACAGTTTACCAGCATGTTCTGTGAATTGCCTCATGTTGCTACGGGCCACACCGCCGTCAAATTATGCATATTATTATGACATTTTTTGGAGATTTTATTGTTATTGTTTTCGTTTTCTTTATTGAGCTAGTCCGAATTAAAGCGCTTACTTTGTTCCAAAGTGTATTATTATGTCAGTCTTAGATGACAATGGTCAAATCATCTATATTATGCTTGGTATTCATTCATTCATTCATTCATTCATTCATTCATCCATTTGTTCATTCATTCATTCATTCATTCATTCATTCATTCTTTCATTCATTCATTCATTCATTCTTTCATTCATTCATTCTTTCTTCTATTCATTCAATATTTCATTCATTCTCCTGAATTAAAGTCCAGTGGTGAAGAACCTGTTTTGTGCCGAAAATGTACCCTCAGTAAACTTGAACATTTCCTTGCTTCCCTCCAGGTTGTGACAAATTTGATGATGCTCTAGATAATCTAGAAGCCTGCAAGAGATACGTCACAGATCTTCCAGAAGACTTCAGCGAGGCGTGTGTGTGAGTACTATTAATTAATAATAATTTGTACGCCAGTGTCTGACGATTACCAAAGCATTCACAAAGGAGAATATTGTTTTAAGCAAAACAAGAATTCAAAGTTAAGATGATTTGTAGCTTCTCTTATGGCCAGTGAGACCTATTCTAGCAGAGAGATGTTTGTTACATTTTGAGCATCCAAAAGCCCCGCTTCCGCTTGTGGATTCATATGTGCGCAGCTTGCGGGCTTCTCTCTTGTTTTCAGTATTTCTAATTCCTGAAGCTTCAGCTTAAGCTCTAAGTGTGTTACATTCTACTGTATATAAAGTCGAATATATCTTTAACTACGTTGCATGCTGAGATTGTATGAATAGTTCAAGTAACGCATAAGCATACTCACTCAAACACACACACACAAACACACAAACACACACATGCACACACCTACACACACAAACAAACAATCACACACACACAATAAAACAATCACACACACATACACACACTTACATACATACACACACAAGCAATCACACACACACAAATAATCACACACATACACACACTAACACACACACACACACACACACACACACACACTAACACACACACACACACACACACACACACACACACACACACAA